AAACCCCAAAAAAGTAAAAAGGAGAAATTAAAACCCGTCAATTTAGGTGGTTAATATTCTGGTTTTCCACCAAGAAAAAAGAAAAAAAAAAGTTAGAGAATTGAGAAATCCCATGCACTGGATTATCCTAAATACTTAAAAAAAAAACAAATTTACTGTAATCTATCTACTTGTTAGAACCCTCATAATTTAACTAACCTCAGACGAGCGATCGGGTAGGGGATGTCGGGGGCGGGAATCAGGAGGCGAGTTGTTAGAAAAATCCAACATATTGCTACTAAAACTTGTGACACATGACTGAGGAGAAGAAGCAGGAATCATATGGGACCAGCTTTGTTTATGAGGCAGCTGAAAATCCTCGCTGCGGCCACCGACACGGCCACCGCCGTCGCCATGTCCATACACGTACTGCTCCTTCTTGACATGATCAAGCTGGTGGTGGTGGTGGCCGTTACTATTCAAAATCTCTTCTTCCCAATCCTCCAGCAATTTCTTGGCTTCAAACTGCCCCATACACCCCTTCTGTTCATCCAATTCCCCAGCCAAACCTCCCCTAAATAATTAAACACAAAAATAGAATCATATTAAAAACTAAAAGAGGAAATATTTTGAAAGGGATAGAGATTATGAGAGGGGGATTTTTTACAAGAGAAGTTGGCTCCAAGACTCTGGAAGCTGGTCCTGAGAATCACACCAAGAAGGAAAAGGAAAAGGAAGGGAATTGGAGTAGTGAGGGAATAGAATATTGGGAGAATTAGGACATAAAAATGGAGAAGAAGAAGCTGCTGCTGCTGCTGTTACTGCTGCTGGCTGTTGGTTTTGTGTGCTTGTTCTCATACTCCCACCAATATTATTACTCCACCAATTAGGGTTTTCTGCTCCCATCATCTGTTGCACAACTGAGCTTTGCAGAACCCCTCTATTCATGGCCTCCCAATAATATTTAAAAAAAGAAAAAAAAAAGAAAAAAAAAACTATCTTTTTCTTCTTCGTCGACGTCTTCTTCTTCTTCTTCTTCTTGATCTTGATCTTGATCTTCTTCTTCAGCTAATTCTGTAAAAAAAATGGAGGGGGGAGCTAGCCAAAACAGGCCTTATAAGCAATAGAAACTCTGAATTTTCCTCCTACTCAAGTATAAGTAGGGTAAACCCAGGTCCCCTTTTTTTATTTCACAGAATTTGAATAATCATGGAGTTTGAGAGAGAAAACCTTTGTCTTTATATTCTGTGTCTCTCTCTTTCTTCTTTATTGTGTATGTGTGTGTGTTTGCTTTTTTGTAAATTTTTTTCCTGTATTATTATTATTTTTTGGGTTGCTTTTCTTTTCTTTTCTTCTGCTTTTACTTTATCTCAGAGCTGTGTGGGACAAGAAAGGTACTGTTAAGCAATTCCTATAAAATTTAAGAAAACAAAAATATGGATTTTTGTAGACTGACTTTGAGTACTCAAGGAATCCCATCATTCTTCACCTTACATTTCTTCATCATATCAAATCCATATATAGTCTCTGCTAACTTTACCCTAGATGCTATCATATGTATCAGTTTTAATTATACGCACAAAAAAGATACCTTTTCATTTCTTTTGAAAAAAAAAATGCTCTCGAATGAATTAGTCAGATTAGATGTTCAAATTAGCAAATTTACATAAAGGTAGTAATTTTTTTGTTTAAAGAAAGTTTTGACCGTGGTTGATAATTTAATTACTTTATTTGTGTTACTTTGGGTACATTGGGCATGATGATTAATTTGAATATTATTAATGTGGCTAAAATGTAAACATGACTTTTAAATTAGGCCCTAAAACTGTCATCATATGGAATGTTTGGTAGTTACTTTAAATAACATGAGTTCATAATCATGGTTACGTTTGTCTTGTATTGAAAATATATATGTAAGCTAGCTAGCCAGCATATATTATATCACAAGAATATCTCCCAAAATGCTGTTTCGTTTACAGTTAGATTTGGTTGATTATGAATGAAAAAGCATAAGATTACGAGTAATTAATTAGTTGAATTTCGATTTGATAATTAAAAAAAAATAGAGAGAAAAAAAAAAGGAGAGAGGACCAAAAAGAACAGTACTGTACAGTTTTCAAGATGGAAGGTCAAATTCTAGAGAATGGGTTGATTTCAATTTCCCAAATCTTTATGGGTCTTTTTCTTTGGGGGAGCAACTCGTACCATATAACATATGTAAATAAATATTTTAAAAAATATGCATAGATTTTTATCATCTTCTTTTGGAAATAGGGGATTAATAGTAACGAAATGGTAGATTTTAAAAATAATACTAATAAATTATTAATGACGAGAATAAGAATTTAGATGCAAAGCCGAGATTGTCCCAATTAAGTTTACACACAATTTTTAACATACTCACCCATTTAAACTCGTTCCAAAATATTATCAAAGTTATTTTTAAAAAATACAATAAAATTGCTAACAAAATCCATAAAGTTTAGAAAGGACGAAGTCTAATACAAATGTCATCTAAAATAAAAGATTCAAAAAAGGAAAGAAAAAATAACAAAGGAGGTCGTGATCACCAATTAAGGGAGAATAATGCTGGGACTCTTGAAAGTTCAAATTAACTAACATGATATTATTTTCTCAAAATGCATGTCTAAGAAATTAGAAAAAAGAAGAAAGTTAAAGAAAAATAACAAAATAATTGAGATTTCATTAAATCAAATGCATTATATTACTTATCGTTCAAAACTTCAAATTAATGAAAATATTTGAGTTCTCATAAATTTATTAATGTCTTAACTGGCTTAAAATCAAAATTGAAAGATAGAACCAACATGATTCAAAAAATGTGAAATAAATTTAATTGATCTAAAAACACAAAACCAGACAAGGTGAACCAAGACAAATATATTTATTTGAAACCAAACATGAATTGGGAATATAAGAGCGTGATTAGGTAAGCAAAGAATCAGTGTAGAAATATAAAATAACAACAAAAGAATAATAAATAGAGGATATATAGATTGATGTCATATATAATAAATACATAAATATGTTTGTTTCTAAAAGAAATCAGTAAATTAATTTTGTGGTGAAAAATATTCCTTTGTGTCGGTTTTGATACAGAGAAAAAACAAAGAAAAAGCCTAAAATCCCGAGCGAGCAAGGGAGGGAGAGAGGGTTACGTTATCGAAACGACGTCGTGTGGAGAATTGGAGCAGTGGGCAGCGGAGTTGTCCGTACCCCGAAAATCTTTGTCGGAGGCGGCCTGTCTTTTTGTAGATCCATCCCTCTGTCTTTCTAATATTATTTTTTAAGCCCCAAAAAATAAATTATTTTCCTTTTGCGTCTCTCCCATGTCCATGTCCGACCATACACACAAACAAATAACTAACAGATCCCTCCTCCTTGTCTTCACTCTCTCCCTCCATATTCTCTCTCTCAATAACTGAAAACCGCTTCCCTCAGCTTCCATCCAAATTATATTATTTTCCTTTTTTCTATACTCAAATATTAACTTTTTTTTTCAAAAGTAAATTATATATTAAACCAAAAAAACCTCACAGCCCGCGATCAAGGCACAACACCTAAAGGGTAAACAAAAGACAAGAAGGCAGAAAAGTAAATCAAGAAAACAAATCCTAGGTCGAGATAAATATATATTAAGGTAGTATAATGATAATAGACCTCAACTTTCAAAGCGCGCAAGAGGGCAGAAGGCGATCGGCCCACCCCACCGCATGAACTCGAGCATTACGCTTCCTCCAGATAAAAGAAACAGTCCAAGTTCATGCCAAGCGCCACGCACGACGACGAAAAGACTTTCCGACACTAATGTGACAGATCCAAACAAGCTCAGTAGACTAATATAAAACCAAGTGAGAAGAACCAGCTCAAGTAATTAATCATACTAGAGTAGACCTCCCAACTAAAGGGACACTCAAAAGAATAGATGATCCGGAGACGTCATGCCAACACAAAACATACCGGAAGCAGGAATCGAAGAGTCCCAACGACATAAGCAATTCCTCATAGCAAGCCGATCACGCATCGGCAACTAAGCAATGAAAGAATGCTTCGGAATGTTCCCCACTGAACTAAACCAAAGAAAATGAAGGAACAGGAGGTTGAGCCGGCCGCAATACACCCGACACACTCAATATCGAGAAGAGACCCGACGACGTCGGACTATTAACTACTTTTGCCAATATGAATATAGCTCATCGATAATTGGAATATATTTCTACCCCTCAAAGATTGGAGGTTTGATTCCTCGTATCCCCACTGTACTAAAATAAATAAATGGTATATATATATATATTTTTTTTTCTACTTTTGGAATGAAAATTTACCCCAATCCATCCGCTTAAGCTTTTGGATTAAACGGAGATTTATTCTCTTTGACCATATTTTTTTTCTTTTTTATTATTTTTTTTGTCAACTCAACTTCTATTACATTGGTGAAAATACCACTCTTGAAGGGGTGTTTGGAATTGGATCCAATTTTGCAATGCGGCCTATGGGACCTGGGAGTGGATGATTTGGAATTAATCACATATTTTGTTTGGAATTTCAAATTAAATCTAGAGAAATGTGATTTTGTTGGATTTAACTTATTTATATTCATTTTGTAGTAACTTAACTAAATAATTACATAATCATCTAAAGAAAAAAAAGTAAACAAACAAAAATATGTTGATGTCAAATTCTACCGAGTGACATTGCAATTAGATCTAATAGTCAATATATGAACGAATTAATTAAATCGTTAAACCATTAATAATTTTTTTATAAGTCAAAGGTTTGCCTTACTAGCTTGAAAAACAGAATCCACACCATTGTAGTATTTTCTAAATTTATTTTTGTTTATCTCTCAATTTATTAGGGAGTTTAACCCAAAGTTAATAGTTCAATCTAATTTTGGTTTCCAATTAAAAAAAAATAAAAATGAGACAAAATCAGGAATGAGAAAACCTTCTTAAATGTAATAACGTTACTTCACATGTGTTCTCAATCAAATATTTGATGTAATTAATTAAAAAAATACAATAATAAAACAATGAGAAAATCTTCATATTTTGAGGGATTTTGCTGCGATTTTAAATTGATAAAACATTTATCACCGACCAACCTGATGGATCCATGGATTCACGGCTATTTTTGTCTGTTGCATAAACACAAAAAAAAAAATCAAAAATCAAAAATTAAAAATCTCAAAAACTTTTAAAAAAATTTGAAACCGACACGAACGAAGTTCAATGATATTACTACCAGCACGCATGTTTCCACAGTGTCCTAATATATATTAGAAAAATGGAACCCAGAAGTTTTGAGGCGCCCGACATGTCGTTTTATTGGACTCGAATATTATTCGAGCTATGAAAGAATGTGTAAAATTTTGTTTGATGCTGTCGTAGTGAATCATCGGATTCCTCCCATCACATGCCCTTAAAAATAGAAAAAAAATATAATATTAATTAATTCCCCTTGAATTACTCCATTATTCTCCTTAATTTATGATCCCAAGATTGCATTTTTTATTCATAAATATTAATATACATATATCAATTTCATATAATTGCTGTGCTGCATCTAGGGCAAGCCTAAAACCCTACCCAACTTCTAGCTTTTTTTCCCCTTTAATTTTTATAATAATGGCAAAAGGGGTTTGAGGCTATCATTAGGTTAAAGATCAATTTTTTAACCATAAAGAGAGAACTAACACATTGGAATTATTTGAAATTTTGGCTTCCCTTCTCAAAATATTTATTTCATGCATGCCATTTTTAACTTTATTATGGCTCATTATTATTTTTTCTTCTATCCTTTAATGTGAATTTCCCATTGCATCCATCCTCTTTAGCTAGCTCTCTCCCCCCTACTCGTTTTGAAAATTTCCTCTTTTTAGGTGAAAGCAAGAGAGTAATTCTGGCCATACCTTTCAACCCATGGATTTTTTTTAATAATATTAATTTTAAAATTTATTCCAAATATATGTCACTTCCCAAACTTTTTTCAAGACTAATGCTTCGAAAATAGCAGGAGACGACCTGTGAAGTGGGACTAAAAGACCGTCTCTAAGAGAAGACCTGCTGACACCGTCATGTTACTTCTTTTTTTTTAAATCAAGAGACGTTTTTTAAACACATGGCCCGTCATGCAATTCTTTTTTTTTTTTTTTTTACGAAATATGTAGCAAGAGACGACATACTGCAAGGTTTTTTAAAGCCCACTGGTCATGGATGTGGGCGTGAAGAGTAT